CACCTAAAACCCTTCTATTTATTAATTTTTCTAAACCGATCAGCCAAAAATTTTCTTTCCCACCATACACAACCCCATACACCCGCTTCCACCTTCCCAAACCCAAGCCATAGCCATGCCACGGAGATAATAGTTGGAAGCTTGATCGAGGGGAACATGCACAATGCTGTTTATGAGAAATCCACAAAAAGGTGTCCAGGAGATTTCTAAGAAGATTATGCAATTTGAAACCTGCCAACCACAACAGGGGCTTGTCACATTCAAGAGGCAACCCGGATGAGTCACCCATAGCCACAACAGTGACTTGCTAGATCGAAGGAATAGAGTGAATCTCTTCCCCCATAGGGATGTAGAGGATGAAGAAGCTCTACCAAGAAAACTTGACCAAGAATATCTGAGAAGCCAAAAATTTTGAAGTAAAAGTAGATTTATCATAGTTTAATGGCTATATGGATCAGGACACGCCATCAGGTGGCTTTGAACCTTGGAAAGTGTTTTGAGTGTCAGGACATCCCACTAGACAATGTCGAAAATAGCCTCCAGCATGTTAAGAGTGCATCTCAGTGATAAACAAACTTGAAGATTCTTTGACAACAAGAAGGGAAGAGTAAAACTACTATCTAATCCAAGATGAAACAGGAGATGCGGCGCCGGTTCTTATCAACTCAACATGATCGGTCTGACATCATACTATGGGGAGACAGAAGGTCCCCCACGTAATCATGCCACTAAAGTGAGACGTCTGTGTCACGCAAGACCACACCAAGCATAGTCTTGACTGCTCGGTTTGAACTATTTTAGGGTCATCCTGCCATCCTGTTTGCAAGGGGTTACTGCCCATCCTATAGGGGTCACTCCTTAGTTACCCTAGCATTATACATGTTTTTTTTATGTTTTAGGTCAGTTTTGTCATGTTTCTATTTAGAACAACCGTCAGCGTCAAGGTTTCTCCCTTCTAGTGTTGTATCTAAAAGCGGATAGTGTTCCGGCTACAGCTCATCAGAGGTGGTACTTTCTTCCAAGGGTTGAGTGGCGCCCCGGCTGTAACTCGTTCCTGAGGGAGTGTTTATCATCGACCTTCCTCCCCGGCACCCCTCGCATCATTGCCACGCCTCTTTCCTCGTTGTAGCTTCCCAGAACAACCACTGTTGTTTTTCTTTCTTGCAATGCTCTTTCCGGCCACCTCCTATCCTCCTAAATCAGCTGCTCAGCCCTCCTTGTTGTTGTTCCCTGTTGTCCAGCCATCCCAATCAGCAAACTACCGCTTTTGGATTGTCATCCCTGGCCGCCCTGCTGTCCCGGCTGCTCCTAAGCGCTGGCATCCCTCATCTATAGCCAGGAAATCCCTTTCTTATCTTGTCGCCACCCCTCCAAGCCCCCTAACCGTCACCACCACCAACTGGTATCCACCCTAACGTGAATTTGTGTCATGTGTGTTGTATTTTCCCTTTCAAGTGTGTTTGATTGCAACCTCCTATTTGCTTCAAGTAATAATATTTATTTTTCTATTATGATTTGCGTTAGCTCCGATATCACTGGAATATATGGCTAAGGGCAACCTCTCCACTTCCTCCAAGAGGGTTAAACACCTATAACCACCCAAAAAGGTAAACTAGAAAACAATTAGATTCCAACAATCTGTCCTTCCAAAATAAACTTCTCATAATGCCAATAGTAAAGCCAGTCAGGCCACCAAGGAGGGAGACTGAAATGTTGGTAAAGTGATGAAGCAAAATGCACAGTGGAAGTTATACCAGATCAAGAGACAGAGTTTCATGTGCCTATTGCTCACGGAGGTTGGTGATATTCAATTTAATAGGATGAGCATGCTAAGGATTAACAAGACGAGTTGTAATTCAATTAACAATTTAGATCCAAACCTCTCACTCAATCCACCTCGAGTATAAATGGATTGATCCAAAGTTTGAATGAATGTGGAACCATCAGAAACAAGAAAACTCACACTCCAAGCTCAAGAGGGCAGTGAGATTACTAGGCCAGAAGCTTTTTCAAACTTTGAACGATAGCAGGTCCAAGGTAAATGGCACCAAGCATCACTTGCCAATAACAGCGGCCTCCACCCACAGCCAATGGAGAATGAAGAGCCTCTGAATTAGAGAGGCTTTGTGATGCTTTTTTGCAATTCAGCAGTCAGCACCAAGCGCATATAGTCATATGCCACTATTGCCCCAGAGGAAATGGCAAGCAGCTCTGCGCCAATCCCACAAGCTGCAAAAAAGACTTCCATTTCACTTCCTGAGAACTGCCCTCGAACACATTGTTAAACTTGCACGCTTATCTCGCTAGTGCTCATGTTTCCTGCACCAGCATGGATTTAGCAGGCAGTTAATGGTTCTGCTGCGATAACACTTCTCTGCCTCCAGGACAAACTTAGCATTTTTATGACTGATTCCCAACAACTCTCTTATCACGCTACTTAATATAGGCTAAAAACTTGCTAGTGAAGAATTGCTTTGTGCAGTTAGCTTTAAATAAAGGAGGTCAAAACATAGCCTCTGTGGTCCATTCCTAGGTTCCTACCAACTATCACATAAAACTAATCATTTTAGACTAAAATCTTGCGGCTGTGGAAATGCTCTATGCAGTTAGCTTTCAAGAAAATGAAAAGCTCAATTTGGTGGAACATGGGGCAGAAAAAATGCTATAAGAACCCATGTGAAACAATTTAATGTCCTTCAAAACCATAATATCAAGGTCCCTTAGAAAATGGGCATCAATAACAAGTTTAGGAAGCTCTTATCGTATTAACAGAAAATAATGCCCCGCCAAAACAACCACAACCTATGATACTGAAAAAATATTGGCAATAAATGGCAAGTTCTCGTACAAAAATTAAATCAGCCCAAATCAAAACTTCCAATTAATAGCATCAAAATCATTCATATGAAAAATCAGCATCAACCTAAGGCTAAATGAATCAGTATACCATGAATTCCAAAATTGCCACCATCAAAGTTCTTAACTTTTGGCATCAAATATATCTATTTTTCCAAGAAGTTGAATCACAACTTCTTTGCACAGAAGTGCTATTTTTAGGTGAACAGGGTGGCCTCAGAATGGACACATAATGACCACTTCTATCATACTTACCACCTTCATTCACATAGCTGCTGGGAGAAATTGGAAGGATAAATATCTCGGCGAGGTTGAGCTACAGCCGGAGCATATTCTTGGAGACGGTCACCATCTTAGACGGGTTATAGCTGAAGCACCTCCTCGCCGTCAGATACAGCCCTTGGAAGGAAGAAACGCCTCAAAGGCAGCAAACTTAAATCTGGAATAATCAAAAACTAACACTAAGCAAGTAAAACAACACATATATAAGCTAAGATAGGAAGGTTACGCCTTCCCCTTTGGGTGGCAAACAGAAAAGGCAGGGAGGGACTGGTGGTAACCAAGAAGGCAAGAATCAGAATAGGAAAAGGGAGTAGCGGTAGGAACGGGAGTTGTGAATCCCGCTCGATAAATTGGGCGGTCGGTCGCCCCCGTTGGACCGGGCCTTTCGGGAACCGGGTTCAGCAAACCTTGGAGTCCCATGTGTGAGAGCCCCACGTTCGCATTTCCCACATCTGAGAGCCCGACGTCAAGCTATCTCCTGATAGTGATGTGAACCTAATTTTATTATTTAGATGATTATTATTATTATTCATGTTTTTAATTTATTTAGTTGCTTGTGTGTGTGATTGAGCTTTAGTGAAAAGTATAATATGATTCACATTTCCATGATCACTGCTGAAATTTTATATATTTTTTTATTATTTTTCTTGTGATATTTCAAACTTATATGATTAATAAATAATGATTTGAAATGAAAGAAGTATGCTTACCGATTTTACATTAAAAAGTGACTACTTTTTGCTAAAGTTATTGAGTTGCCAACATGCAAATTGTATTTTTGTATGTTTCACGGCGCATATCATCATAGATTGCATTTGTAACCGTAAATCCATGATAATCCCATATCAAGTAAAGGGCAAGATATCTAATTCATACGCTCATATTAATTGAAAATTATGCATTTAAAAAAAAATCCCTGAAAAAACAAACATCAAACATAACACACATTATACATAATTTAAGTATCTATAAACAAACTTACGTTAGCCTTCATTAGCTACTAAACAAAAAATATTGAATGCCCAACAAGATAAAAAATATGCAATCCATGTTAAGGTAAAAAGTAGAATAGAATTTGCTTATAATGCATTGCATTACTCCTTTAAATAACAACAATCAAGCTTTAAAATGGCAAAATACCAAATCTTGAATAAGCATGTTGGTTGACCTAAAAAATTTATTCCAAAAATCCAATTTTATATTCATAGTGTTAGGGTAAAACTCAATAGTATTAAACTTATATTTGGGACATTGTACCATGTCATGAATGTTTTCAAGCATTTTTCCTTCGAGACATTTTTAAGCATATATAATGATAAAAGGTGTGTTGGAAACTTGTATATATTTGACTCGTATCGAACAAAAACATTTCAGATATTTAAGAGTTTATGCTTCCCAATATAATTTAGATAACCACTTGAGCCAAGTTAGCTCAACTCATCACTTACTAATTTATCTATATTTTTGCACCCAAAAAAAAAAAAAAACTTCTCATATACCTCTACCACCCACCCCACCTAGTCATGCTCCTATATAGCACATCAATGTCCATGTTCCAATAACAATGGCACAGCTGCTTCGTTGTTCCAAGCCTTAACCCAACCTATAAGCAATAAAGGCACTGCATTTTACCAGCAAAGGCTAAACTCCCTCATGATAGAATTCACTCTATTTAAAAAAACCGAACCTTATGCCTACACAGAAAGAAATGAGAGTGAATAATAGAGAAGCCAAAAACATCACTCAAATAATTGGTGAAAAAGAATCATAAATAAGTTAAAAGAAAAAAAAAATTGCAAACAGATGTCATGAAGTTGATCTTTGGAAAGCTTGGCATAATGTAAAGTGGGAAAGCCACATACAGAAGTTTGGCATTTTTCATCCACAGGGCTTGACGAAGGCGCCTAGATTGCTTCTTGAAATGAAATGCGCTATCTTGCATTGTAGCTGTTTTATCAACTAGAAGGGCAATACGGTCACCTCTGTCCATTATCTTTTCTATGTTATCCACCATGACCGTATGTATCTGGCAAAACCATTTACAATTTTTAACATGCCATAAACATGTAACAAACCAAAGTGGAATCAGGGGAAATGTTTGAAAACTAAAGTTAACAGATATTTTACAAACAAATAAGGCTTCCATGGTTACCAAAAAGAAAAGAGACCAACTTGATTTTTTCCCATATATACGAACAACAAAAACCAAGTAACAAAAGCCAATCCACCCAACAAATCAAAAATGGCCCAAGTATTCTTAAAATTTGGCATGTTATGGTATAGGAATTCATAGGAACTTTTGGTTACTTTGCAATAAGCGAAGGTACTGTGCATAAATGGATGTGTGCAAAAGAAAACATACATAGAGTATAGCTATTTCTGTTCACTGAGTATAGCAACAGCTAAGCAATGTTACGAGGAAAGCTAAATTTTGCAATAAAATAAAATTTGATTGCTAGATTAACAAACATCTGCTTCATCCCCAATGAAGTTAGGAGTTTACCACATTTCCACTTCACTTTTTCCAATAACAAATTACCCTTTTGGTGCACAAAATTTGATGCAAAGCATCTTAATTCCTAAGGTCCCTAATGTAACAAAAATATTACGATATATGAAACTATATAAATCAATTTTAGAAATTCAACATTTCAATCACCACAAAGTAAAACAAAAACTTACCTTCATCTTATGAAAATCCAAAAATACTATAAATCTATGTCAAAAACTTAATTTAATGATAGCCTAAATAACAAACAATCAACAAAACATTTAAAACCAGCAGAAATCACACATTAATGAAGATTCACACAACAAAATAGAACTCCAGTTGTAACATATTTAACTAAAAGAAGAACGCTTGCAAGAAATCAATAATGAAGTATTTAGAAGAAAATAGAATAAGACAAAAGAACACCAAACATAAAAAATCTAGGCCACGAACCAGTATAAGGAGATGACTTCTTTTGAAAACGAGTAATCATAGCATTCAAAGGACTATGCGTCTAATCAAACATAAGAGATTGAACATAGAGAAAATTTTATTTATAGACTGGCCAAACAAATAGAAATGAAAAGCAAAGACTTAACTCAAGTAAAATGTATTGAAGCTGAAAATAAAAAAGTGTTCTTCTTTAAAGTAGATATTCAACATAGGTGGATGAACTATTTTTATAAACTTTTCAATAAAGTTTCTAAAAATGTGATCGACCTTAGTGATCTTAATATCGTTAATGATAATAAAAGATTTTATTTTACCGTCGCATTAGAAAAAAAAGGAAGTTGATGAGGCTTTAAAGAAAACCAAGGTAGGAAAATCAGTAGAACCTGATGATATCCCAATTGAAGTGTGAAAATATCTAAGAGATTTGGGAGTTTCTTGGCTTACTAAACTCTTTAATATTGTTTTAAAAACTAAAAAGATGCGTGAGAGTAAAGGAAGAGTATTTTGGTCCCCATTCTTAAGAATAAAGGGAATGCACAAGAGTGTGCAAATTATAAAGAAATTACGTTGATGTGTTGTACTTTAAAATTATGGGAGATGACAATTGAAGATAGGTTAAAACGTATTTTAAAAGATTTCTCATAATCAATTTGGATTTGTGTTGGGCAGGTCTACAATGGAAGCAATACATTTATTAAGAAATTTGATGGAGAAGTACAGAGAGAATAAGAAGGATCTACATATGATATTTATTGATTTAGAAAAAGCTTACGATAAAGTCCCAAGAGAAGTCTTTTGGAGAGTTTTAGAAAAGAAAGTTGTTATATTCAAGTCATTAAAGATATGTATACTAGAGTTGTTACTTGTGTTCGAACAGAAGGAGCATTGACCAAGTATTTTCCTATTTTGGTTGGATTACATTAGAGATCGGTTTTAAGCCCATATCTTTTTGATTTAGTTATGAATGCTCTTACTGGACATTTACAGGAGGATGAACCTTGGTGTATGTTTTTCGTCGAGAAAGGGTTCAGAAAAAACTTGAAACTTGAATTATGAAGGTCTTGAAGGTCTTCATTGGAGTCTAAAAGCCTTCATTTGAGTAGATCTAAAACCGAATACATGGATTGTAATTTTAATAATAGTAGCTCTAGTGGCAGAGTTGTAACTATGAGTGATCAGTCATTAAAAAGTATGAACGCTTTAGATATCTCAGATCTATTGTTCAAAGTGATGGTGATATAGATGGGGATGTTATTAGTAGAATTCAAGTTGGTTGGTTGAAGTGGAGGAATGCATCAGGTCTATTGTGTGATAGAAAAGTACCGCTTACACTGAAAGAAAAATTTTATAAGATGGTGGTGAGACCTACAACGCTCTATAGGCAGAATGTTGGCCTTTAAAAGAGAAGCATAAAACAAAGTTATATGTTGCTGAGATGAGAATGCTTAGGTGGGTGATTGGCTTGACACTTAGAGACAATGCAAAATGAATATATCTGTGACAGGGTTGGTGTAGCTTCAGTGATAGACAAGATTAGAAAAAGTCATCTTAGATGGTTTGGTCATATTAAACATCGACCATCTGATGATCCAGTTAAGAGAGTAAATATTTTGGATTCAACTTATGTTAAGAAAGGCAGAGGTAGGCCTAAAAAGACTTGGGTATATTGTATAAAAAATGATCTTAATTTATTATAATTAAATGAGGATAGGACACTTATTAGGACGGGAGAAAAAGAATTCAAGTTGGAGACCCCACTTAGTGGGATAAAGGCTTGTTGTTGTTAATGTTATGCTTACACATTCTTCAAATAATAATTATATAAACTGATTTCCTAGGATTACGTCAGATATATCTAAAAGTTTTGAAAATTATCAAAATCTCATAAAAAGTAGCATCGTAATCAAATGAGTGCACATCAAAATCAGCAGCAAAATATTTTTTAGTGAAATGAATAGCTAGATCTACGGAACAAATGACAAAGATAAGCACAAAAAAAAAATCTTCAATGATACAATCGCTACAAAAACTTATATCAACGACAGCACAAGCCAATCAATGTTACAAGAAAAAAGCTACGCCTGCTACAAGAGCTAATAATGTTATAAGAGCTGCTACTACATCTCCAAAACCTGCTGCAACAGCCATACAGCATACCAAAAATAAAAGCTAGTACAAAGATACACCACCTGTTACATGAGCCACATGGGTGATATGGTCCTGCATCAAGGTTTGTCGTTAATGACATATAAGTCCTAAGAACTTAAAATAAGCAACCACTTTCCTTCATTACAAGATTTACACAATTTGGACCAAAGTTTTGCAAGAATCAATCAGTCATTTTCCCTTTAAGCCATCTAGTCCCACTTGATGTTTCATAAGCTCGTGAACAAGAACTATAGGGAGAGAAGGAAAGAGAGAGAAAAAGAAGGGAGCGAGGAGTGAGGGGGCTTGTGGGATGGGACACCTGTGTATTTGTTCTTACCATACTAATCTATAAATTGTTGTCTGGGTGGTGGCTAGTACCTTCTGGGTTGCTTGCATTTTTTTATTTTTTGGTATTCTTCTCAATTCAAATACATATTTTACGTGCAGATATAACTTCATGTAATTGTAATGGTAATTTAAGGCTTCCAAAAGTTCATATAAAATATTGGAGCGAGAAACACAATCTTGCATACATTGAGCAAGAAATGCCAAATTGATTAAAGACAAATCCTTGGAGGATTAAATAAAAGAAGAAAGAAAATCAAGTAGTTAGAAAACAGCTTTTCACATAGTAAAAAGCTTGAACATTGCTTAAAATTCTGAACTCATCTTCATTTGATCAAAAGTTGAAGTTCCGGTTCTTCAGCCTAACCCATAACATGTCACCTTCCTTCAAAATCATGGCTTCTTCAACTCTTTAGCCTGTTTCTAATACCTAGGGTTATGGATGCCAATTTTCTTCCTTACCTACTCGTGTAAGGTTTGAATGTCCTTGACTTCCTCAGAGTCAATGCTAAGCTCAACAGCAAGTAGTATCAGGACTAACTCCAATGATGTAAGAAGATTTTGGCCGTATACAATCTCAAAGAAGTTGCGACCGGTGGACTGACTAGTGGAGCGGTTGTAGGCAAATTGTGCTTGGGGAAGAATCAAATCCCACTGCCTGATGTTCTTTCCCATAAAGCATCTAAGAAGTTCCCCTAAACAGCAGTTTAAAACCTCGATATGCCCAGCTATTTGAGAGTAAACTATTGAGCTAAACTGAAGCTTTGTGCCTAATTTGACCAATAAAATCCTCCAAAAGTGGCTGAGAAATTTCACATCCATGTCCAAAATGATGCTCCTGGGTATCCCATGAAGACGAACAACCTCCTCGATGTATAAGTATGCAATACGTGATACCTTCATTGTCTAATGGCAAGAGATAAAATGCATCATTTTGGAAAAACGATTTGCTGCAACCATAACAGAATCCTTAATCCAATGTGTCTGGGATAAACCTACCACAAAATACATGCTCACATCCAACCAGGGTGTTCTAAGAATAGAAAGAGGAGTGTACAGAATAGATTTCTGCCCTTGACTCTTAGCCAAATAACATACCATGCACTGTGAAGTGTCTCTCCACATCTCGTACCAATCTGGGCTATTAAAAATTCTCTTTTACTAAGGGTCTTATCTCTGCCAAAATATTGTCATTCCCCCACTGCGACATTCCTATAAAATGATCTCTCTAAGTGAACACCAAGTACTGCACAGTCTATTCTGGAAGAATAGATATCCGTCGGATCTGTAGTACTACTCATACGGCCTATCCTGGAATCATACCCAAATATCCTGGAAATCCTCATCAGCTGCATACAAGTCTTTCAGCATTTCAAAACAAACGACCTTAAATTACATCGTAGCGAGTAGTAAGTGATGATGGCTTAGTTTACAGCTACTTTGTTCTGACCCTCTACTTTCTGCTTGAGTAAAAAACAAAATGAAAAAATAAATTTCACCTATGGCTGTAATTTATTCTACTATTCAAGAATCTCAGGGCCTCATGATCAATGTAAGGAATAAATTCATATGAAAGCAAATAATAACTCCTGTGACTAAGGGCTCTCACGATAGCATAAAACTCCTTCTCATATGTAAAGTACTTTTTTCCTACCATCATTCAATTTTTCACTGAAGAAAGTAATGGGATGCCCTCCTTAACACGACTCCAATTCTCATATTAGAGGCATCACACTTTGCCTTGAACATTTGATTGAAATCTAGAAATACAAAAACAGAGGCTTGAGTCAATTTCTTTTGAGCATCAAAACTAGCCTAAGCATCATTTGGTCAAACATATTTTTTTTATGATCAAACAAATTGATCTTACTTGAGAGGTTTCGTAAAAGGTGTCGTAATAGAGCTGAAATTCAAGATAAACCTCATGTCAAAAAGAAGTCAGACCTTGAAACTAGCATACTTTATTAAACAAATGGGGTATTGGACAGACTACAATAGCCTCAATTTTCGTTTGATCTATCCCAATATCGATTACTAAAACAATGTATCCCAAAAAGCATATCTGATAAGAAAGTGACACTTCTTTGGATGACCATATAGGTGCTCTGTCGGAATAACCTCAAAAATTTATCGCAAATGCTATAAGTGCTCCTAATGTGAACTATTGTACACCAGTATGTCATCAAAATACATAATAATAAATTTTTCAGTGAAGGCTCATAAAAATTATTTTATCAGTCTCATGAAAATACTTGGGGCATTGGACAACCCAAAAGACATGATTGTCACTAATACAATCCATCTCATGTCTTACAGACTGCTTCCACTCATCCCTTGATCTCATTCTGATATGGTGACAGCCACCATGCAGATCAATATTGGAGAAGACACTGACTCCATGCAACTGATGAAGCAAATCGTACAACCTAGAAATCAGAAACATGTACTTAATTGTGATATTGTCCACAAATTTATTCACATACGCCACAATGCATCCTTTTTGGGCACGATCAAAGTTAACACAGCACAAGGACTGGTGCTCTCGCGAATCAATCCACAGGGCATTAGATCCTCAAACTGCTTTTGTGGCTCCTCATACTTTATTGGTTATATCTGATAGACTGGTCAGTTGGGAAGCAATAATCCCAGGATAAATTAAATTAAGGTTGCAAATGTCCCACGTTGCCAATAGACGATCCCAATCCCCTTATATATCAAGCTATCACGTTCTTCTCGGGCTTCACTAATTCATACTTCAATATAAATTGCTCAAACTCAGCAGTGTATTCTTCTACTGTAAGATTTTTCTGTAAGTAATGAAGCCTTAAAAACAAGCTTATCTGTATTGGTAGGTACTTACGCTGAATCTTTCTTTTTATCTTGGACCATATGGTGATTTTGTCTTCTCCCTCATGCTGGAATAAGCACTTCAAGTTTTCCCACGACAAAAACGTGCTCTTCAACTTAATGGTGGCAAGCTCTCCCCTTCTCTCAAGTGAGATTTCCTTGTATTTGAGAACTCGTTCCATTATCTGGATGAATTCGTCCAGATCTACGCGACCATCAAAATCTAGTAAATCCATCTTACTCTAAAATCACCCTCTCCTCTAGTACTCAACGGGTATAGATGATGTATCGAAGCTTCATCACTTGAAATTTCTTGGTGGAAAAGGTTTTCATCTCCTTAACCTGGGTGGTCACCATTATTGCTATGGGTAACTTCCTCATATTGTCTTCTTTCAAAATCAGTAGCCTCTATTGCAACTAAATGATTTCTCGTTGCATGTCCTCCATGGTAATTTCCTAATTGAGGGTTTCTCCTTGGCGACATTGTATCTCGTTCTTCCAACCAAAATTATGGCTAGCTCTGATATCAAATGACATCATGCTAGGGTTCATAGAAGGTGGGATAGATGCATTAGGGACATGTAGGATTGATACAGTGAGTGGGAAACAATAAATAATCGTAGCGAACAGTGACGGTATAGCAAACAGAGAGTGGAAGAAAGGTTGGTTTATGTTGTAAACAACCAGAGGGAGCGGCGTCGATGGCGGTAGGGCTGAAAACAGCAAAAAATGGTGAATAGACGAGGTGTAAACAGAGAGGAGGATCCACCACCTATGCCTAGGCAAGCTCCAGACACACCATTTGTGAAGGAAAGAGGTTAAAGTATTCTGGAGAGCAAAAAAACCAAATAATAACTCTCAAAAATACCTAAAACCAAACTGAAAATCCAAAAAAGCCACTACACATATATAAAAGTCTCCTAATAGTAAACAACCTAATAAGAAACTAAGAAAACAGGAAAAGAACTAGAAAAGAAAGTAAAGGAAGAAAACTTGCTGGAAATAAAGGAGAGAAAATTAAAACAAAATGAAAAAGAATTAGTGTTGGACTCCCATGATTGTGGTAGCTGATACCATGGGAGTGTGGTGTCACGGGAGATCGCATCCTGCGTCAATATGTGTAGCAGTCAACTAGAATGGAGGGAAGTTAACATAAAGAAGATTACACATTGTGAAATTAAGACGAAAGATATTGGTGATGATGGTAATTGCTTGTGTATTAATGCCCTGTATTAATCTACTCGTGCAACATCTAGGAAATTTTCAATTAAATTATCTAATTTATTTACTTACACATATGCAAATTTTTGTTCTGGATGAAAATCTCCTACTTAATGACTTTGAATAAAATGATGAGCAGGGGCGGAACCAAGAGTACTCCAAGATGGGTAATTGCCCACCCTCATCTTTCCAAATTTTTATAATGGAAGAGGTTTTTTTTTTTAATTTTGCCCAACTAACAAAATACTTCTGCTCTTTTGCCCAAACTAGCTACTAAAAGAACCTCTTCAAACTCGGCTCCTTTGGCTTAAAACCTACCTGTAGCCCATGCCCAGTAGGTTTATCAAGCCAAGCTAAGAAAGTTCTCTGACAAATATTCACACATTTTCAACCTTAAAGGTCACATGGAGCTCTATATTATAGAGTTGGCAGCTATGCTATTCTATTTAAGGAACAATAACCCTTTTTTATACATATGTAGGACAAAAGAGTGCAAAAAATGGCGTGAAAGCTTTACATTGAAGTTTAGGGGCATTTACATACATAACACCCAATTCTTATGTATTTAGATATCTAGCATATATACTTTAATTTTTACATTTATACCACCCCAATCTTTCATATCACATCAAAAATATCAACATCTAACCTTTAAAAGGTTAAATACACCTTGTCATGCATAAGGAATGTGGCATGCATGTAAAAACCGAAGTTTAGGTTTTATATATGTAAATACATTAAGAATTGAGTGTGTATGTAAATCTTCCTAAAATTTAATAGGGCCGTTTACATACATATGTATTTACATATCTAACACCTAAACTCTATTATTAATTTTATCCCACCCAAAATTTTCATATCACATAAAAAATTTCACTATTTTAATTTTTTTTAAAAATATTGAAATACACTTTTCATGCATAGATAAGATAACAAATATAGGTGTTAGATGGATAAATACATAAGAATTGAGTTGTATGTATGTAAATCGTCATAAATAATAAACCTATAAGGAATCGTCTTTTTATATGTTTATTATTTATATGTTGGCTTTTTTATATGTTTATTTATTGATTTAAACTTTTTAATTATAATTTATTTTGTGTTTTATGTAAGTCAATATTGAGCTTTAATTTAACATCTTAACAAGCTTGTTCATGAGTTTTAAACAATGTTTTATTTTTTTATTTTTTATAAATTATTTTATTTATATAACAGCCCACCTTCAAAGGATGGCTGGTTTCACCCCTCACGAGACACCCTTCTCCTCCGGAGTTGAAAGAAAACACATCCCTTGAAAGCCATTTAGTTGGCATTGTGTCGGCGGATAGAGATATCACTTTGCATGTGATTAGAATTATTCAGATTATGAGGTTTTGTTATATGCTACCAAGAATCTTGAGATATAATTGTGGCGCTATTGAGTTTACTTGTGCCACCAGGAACCGACATTTAAGAACAAGATAATTCATTCTTATTTTAGGGTTAAGGATCTGTTTGGGATAACTTACTGTTTGTTTTGCTTTTCAGACCGTCGCCACAATTCTATTTGAGGAACTGCTTTCTTGCTATTTTTAAAAAATTTTTGCAATAGAATGAGTTGTTAAAGTGTGGTGGCAGTCACTTTATCTTTTAACAAATAAAATAAGATTGCAATAGCCACCGCAGCCCGCAGCTTTTTAAAAAACAGTTTCTCTGCTGCAGTTGCACCAAACATATCCTAAGTTTATTTTGGATCAGATGTTTTTGTACAAAAGAAGATTAAAAGTGAAATGATAAAATGAATAAAGCTGAGCATGCATGTATCAGCAACGCTTAATGAACAAAGCAAAAATATATAAAAACCTTTTTGAGAATATAATTCGTTGCTTTTCAGATTTCATTAGTGTCTTTCTGTAGACAATCAGAATAAGGTTGGATTTCAATAAAAGAAATACTTGCCTCACTGACTTCACCTCGTAGACGGTTAAGGGTATCTGCTGTCTGATTGCTAGAGAAATACTCCATTTGGTGATGTAGAACTCGTGCAAATTCATCGTTCATTGCATATGCTAGAGAAGAATGAGCCACTCTGCCATAATTTTTCATGAATCTCATGTGAATGTCCTCTAGGTAGGCAAAAGGAATTCGCCCTATAGAATGAGTATAAAACAAATTGTAAATTAGAACATCAACAACAATGAGAACTAATCAAATAAGAAAAGATATATAAATATTTCAAAAAGTCCTATTTGTAAAAAGAACCATTTATTAATGTCAGATAGTCTTCACTTGACCCCCAAAAAAATAAAAAAAAATAATAATAAAACTCAGTTAACATGTTTTTTAACCTATCATTAAACATGAAACGTGAAAAGATAATAGAGCTAAAATGTTAAAATCAATTTGATAAAACGACTGAGAAAGGCCATCTGAATTATAAGGACTAGTTTCTATGACCGAGTAACATTTAGTGCGGGCCTAGCGATATTGCCACTTCCCTCCAAAATTGAGGTTTGGAGTTTGATTCCTGCAACCTTATGCGAAAGAAGAATACGATTTATAGAAACATCGTTTTTGCTAGTTTGTTTATTTATTTATTTCCCAAGTAGAAACATCGCTGACTGCCAATTTTGCCCAGATTGGATGATCAATATATTATGTACAAAAAATATCTAGTTAGATGCAAGGGTTCAGACAAAATTCAAATGAGTTTTTATGCATATATTGCAATGGCAAGAAAAACTCGTATCAATGGAGCAATCAAATGACGAGTTATATAACCAAATCGACATCAGAGAAATGGAGCAAATACCAACAAAAACCAATCTGATGTCGGAAGATCAACTTAATTTTATGCGAGGAAGACCAATGATAAACATGATTTTTTTTCTGAGGACTTAATGGAAAGATACAGCTAACAATGAAAGTATAGTGATAGACTTTTTATTGTTTCAAATTTGAAAAAAACTACATACCATTAGCATTGATTTGATCGGAAGTTATAAGCAATGTACATAGATTAAAAATGCTTGACAAATTTATTAAATATAAGCATATTGGAGAATGACCTGCTTTCACGGTGGTTATGAAGTAACAAAAAAAGTTCCAATCACAGTATGACCACATCATCAAGATTTAGTATTAAGTCCATGTCTCTTTAGACTTTGTATGGATGTGCTTCCTACATATATTCAAAATGAGATAACTAATAAATTCTATTTCTAGATGATATCATTATAATAAATCTGATAATTTCCCTGAAGTATGAGTCATCGATATGAGAGGCGTCTAGCGTGCGATGACGGTACTGTCAATGTTTTGAGTGAATAGGCTGAATCTTTTTTCCTTTGCTTTCATTCCAACAAATAATAATCTGTAAAATCTATTTTAGGTACATAACAATATATACAATGTATTTTAGGTAGCTTAATAATATATTTTCCTAATCTAAATATTCAGCTAAAAGGAAAGGATTTGTGCAATAAAAGTAAGGAATTTAATCCAGCAATTCAAAGAAGAAAATTCTTAATTCTGCCTGATTTCGTTTATTCTTGATTGATATCCTCCTCAAAATGATGTTGACTGATCAAGAAGCATCAATTTGTCAACAATGAACTGATGTCGCTGTCGCGAAATGGGTCTTAGTAAATATATGAGCTGTTTGAAGATCATAAGAGATATTAGGAAGAGAAATAATATCATTATCATAGACTTCTCGAATAGAATGACAATCTACTTCAATGTGTTTCGTGCGCTCATGAAAGAAAAGATTAGCAGTAATCTGGATAGCACTAATATTATTTGCATAAAGAGAAGTATGACTCAAGTTGAGAAAAACCAAGCTCAGCCAACAAACCCCAAAGCCAAATGATCTCAGAACAAGCAAGGATATAACACGATCTTCATACTCAGTAGAAGACTTAGACACTCGATTTTATTTCTTATTTTCTAAGAAATTAAAGAGTTGTCGATAAACATATACCAGCTAGTAATAGATCAACGTGCATCAGAATAACCAATTCAATCAATATCATATATGTTGTTATGAGAATAGGAGACTCTGCAAAAAAGAATAAGTCACGATGAGAAGTACCTAACAATATGTCGAACTGCAATCAAGTGAAGATATGTAGGTGCTTGCACAAATTGACTAATTTGTTGCACAACAAATATAATATCAGGGCGTGTGTAGATGAGGTCATGTTAGAATCGTTTAGCAAAAGAAGAATCATTAAAGTGAGGAAGTATAACAGTGTATGATGTCGAAAGATGATGCTGAAAATAGTATTCATGTTCGAAGAAAATCACATCCCGAGAGATACGTCATCGATTATTAATCGAATCATAACACAGCCTTTATAATTAAGACTGTAACCCATAAATGCACATTGAACAGACTGCGCTACCAACTTATGACGTTCAGGGGCAGAAAAATGAACAAAACAAACACATTTGAAAGTATGTACCATGTGATAATTAGGATGCTTGCCAAAAATTCGATAGTAGGGAAAATCAACTTCAATTATTGATAAGGTAAGCGATTAATCATGTAAACAACAGTAGATAAAGCTTCTGCCCAAAACTTAGTTGGAACAGAAGATTTTACCAGCAATGTGCGCACCATATCTAACAGATGACGATTTTTCCGTTCTGCGACTCAATTCTCCAAGGTGTATAAGAAACATGAACGTTGTGAGACAATACCCCTGCTATGAAGAAATGTTTGAAACTTATGAGAATTGTATTCACCACCATTGTCAATCCGTAAGGTTTTAGTATAAGTGAAGAACTGAGTGTTAATATATGTCACAAAGGTTTAAAACGCGGTAAACACTTCTGCTTTGGAATGCAAAAAATAGATCCATGTGAATCGACTGTGATCGTCAATAAATGTCACAAAATATTTATACTGAGCATGTGAAATAACCGGTGTGATTCCCCGAACATCACTATGAATAATGTCAAAACATTTAATAGCATGAATGCCCAAAATAGAAAAAAACAATGTTTTACTTTTGTCCAGTTTACAAGAAGAACATTCCACTAATAAGTTTTTATCTGCATGACTAAAAAGATCACTATATAATAAATGATTCAAAACTACATTGTTTGGATGACCTAATCTTCTATGTCACGTCAGCTTTATTTTCAACAACTGAAGAAACTAATGACAAAGTCTGAGGAATGGAAAGTTGCAATGGAAATAACCTTTCCACTTTAGGCCCCTTCGCTATCACCTTCCCCGACACCTGATCTTGCACAATACAACCATCACGAAAAAAGTGTATGTCACAATTATTATTCACCATTTGACCAACAGAAAGTAAGTTCATACATAACTTATGAGAAATCAAGACATGTTGAAAAGAGGAGCAAATAATCGAGAGTCGTAATAGAAATATTATTCCTATTAGCAACCTAAATATGTTGAGTATCAGTATACAGACGTTGATTATATAATAAATCAGATGGTCAATTAAATGATTTGTGGCGTCGGAATCAAAAAAACAAAAAGAAGGAATAGACAAAATAGTCTTACATTTCCCTTGAAGACCAAAAGCAAAACAGCCAGAGAGAATCATTTGTTGAACCATATCTGGTGTGAGAACAGATTGATTATTGCCGGCAGTTGTAGATGCCGAAGTAGGATTGCGAGACTCGGATAAGAGCTTGTGGTTTGCGGTTTTAAGGCCGTGTAGAACACTCCTTAATAATATATCCGTTTTTCTTGCAGTAATTATAGAAAATATATTAAAATTCATTGTAACTGTAACACTTTTTTTTTCTTCCCTTGGGTCCGAGCAGCATATGCAACATTAACTATTTTTTATGATCCACCAGCTGTACTGATAATGGCTTGTGTCACCAATCTTTTTTATCTGCGCATTAATTTACAGAAACATACATCCAAACAAGGAACCAGATTTCTAGTCAGCAACCCAGCTCGAGCAGTTTCAAATTCAGGCCTGAGCTGCATCAACAAATTGATCACGGCGACTCACTTTATGAATAGTTTGAAGACAAGCTAAGCTCTCCTTTGACACCTTAGCATATGTAATGTCAGAATAGTAGCTCCATAAATTTAGAAAGCCTGAATAATAATATTCAATTGAGAGATTACCTTGACTATAATTACTAATATCAAGTTCCAATTGAAAGCATCTTACAGTATTATCTTGATTATAGAAGTGTTTCACGTATTCTCACATTTCATGTCAAAGAATCGTAAATAGTTCATCATATGAGCCTCAATAGATCCCAAAATCCAGGAAAAAATCCAAGCAACCTTTGCCTCACATTGACCAAAATCTTCCGGCTTTGTGGTTGCTAGAGAAGACTCGTCAAAATAACCCCAAAGCTCATTCCCTTTCAAAAACATCTTGAGCTGAAATTCTCATGCGGCATAATTATTTCTCGTAAAACTGATATTTAAGATTTCAGAAGACATTATAAATAGAATTGCCACTCACAAGTTGATTATCAAAAAAGTTGTTGATCGAAATCCACGTAAATAGGGACAAGTGGTTGTGGCGGTGCATGAAGGACAAAGATTGTCTCGGGTAAGGGCTCGGGTGGGACAATAATATTCGGACTCTACTTAATGTGCTCGGCTTGAATAAGAAAACCTTAAGGGAGAGACTTCGGGCAGCAGGTTGTTCAACGTGAACGGCGAAGGATCATTCCATAAAAAGCAAGGACCTAGTCATCGAAAATTCAAGACGAGGAACGAATTTGGTGAGTCCTGCCTTCAAACGAAGCCAAGGGAAGAAAAACGAGGAGACGAACAGATGAAGCAGTCGAAAATGGAGCAGACCTCGTAGAACGAAGACAGTGCAGGCGAAGTCAAGCTAAGAAAGTGCAGACGAAATGTACAAAGCAGGCGCAATAGATGGATCAGACAAAGCAATTATCAGTCAAACAGCCGAAGCAAACGATCAGGTGAAGCAGACAAAGCAAGTGAAGCAATCCAAAAGACCGAACTGCCCGGTCAAGCGAACCAAACAAACAAACGAAGCAGTCCAGGCGAGTAGACGAGCGGACAAGCTGTCCAGTCCATGTGAGCTATCCAGACGAAGCAGACAAGCAGTCTAGACAAGACTCATAGATTTGCAGTCGAAGATGGACGATCAATTCCAACGTTGAGGACACC